AAAAATAAAAATAAAAATAAAATAAAATAAAATAAAATAAAATAAAATAAAATAGAAACAGTGGGGTCAGAGTGAGTTACTACGCTGGCCTTGCCTCCTTTCTGAACCCAGCTGAGATCAGGGTTTTTGCAGAAACTCAGGGGTGGCCTCCTTCGCGGGTGCCTTCAGCTGCCCTTCGACTCTGGTGTGGTATCTGCTCCGGTGTCAGATAAAGAAAGCTGTCAGAAGTCTGGGAAATGTGTCTGTGTCTTAAAAGAGATTTTTCTCTGAATACTTTTTTTCCTCCATCAACCCCAAAGCTAGATTTTCAATGACCCTAAATAAAAGCTTAGGTTGCCAAATTATATGGTGGATAATGACAGAATTTGTTTAGCACTGAAAACCATCCCTTGTTTCAAGGTCAAAATGTCAGCACCTCTTTGCCCTCCGTTCTGCCTCTCTTGTCCTTCCTTTTGTTCGTTTCATCTGTCAATAAATAAAAGATGGTCTGTCCAGGAGGCATCCTGACATTGGCCCAGTAATTGCTGTAACAAAACCCCAGTTTGGGGAAGTCAACTCCAAGATAATTCTTGTCGTTGCTTGCCCAGATATTATCGCATTCCAGCCTTAAGAAATGAAGGTCGGTGAGCTCTTGAGTTAACAGATCACCGCTGAATGGTGCTCTCTGGCTAATTCAGTTAACAAGGCTTTTATCTTGTCTGCCAGAATTAAAGCACGAGGATGCTTAAGGAAAGATGTTCATGAACCTTTACCCAAAACAGATGTGGCCATAATATTAAAAGGCCCAGAGAAACATTTATTGACATGAGAAAAATTCCACAGAACAGAAAACAACAAAACAGAGGGTTGAGAAGAACCATGCGGATAATCCGTTTTGGTGTTCTGAATGAGGAATGTTTGCTGGGAAGCAGTAGAAATTTCAGAGAATTTCCCTGTTTATACAAAATCTGCTCTGCTCACATAAGTCTAAATGAGGAGTCGTTGTGATCCAGGGGGGAAAAATGAAGTGAAAAAGAATTAAGTTGCTTTCTGGGCAAATCGGTCATCTAATCCAAGCTCCTTTTCTCTTTTCCTGCCTGTCTTTCTGAGTGCTAAAAAGGACCCCCTCCTTTCGTCCATGGTCTGCACTTGCAGCCCCCTTTCTGTAGTCTCCTTGGGTTTGTCTGTGCCCATCTTTGTCCCTCCTGAGCTTCATCCGCTGCTGCTGGATTTGAACCGTTTGGACCACCACAAGCTATAAGATAAAAGGAGAGGATCAGCAAATGAAGCCTCCACCACCAGCACTGGGGCCACCAGATCCGGGAGCAAGAATCCAGAGAGCCACTAGAGGGCAACAAAGAGACACGGGAAGTTCTAATTCTTCACACCCAGATCTGACAACCTTATTGTGGTCCGAAAAGGTGGCAGCTGCAGAGGCCAGTGAAGGTCACTAAATCACAGAGCGAACTGCTGACAGATTTGCTTTGCAGCAATAAATTTGCAGCCTTTACAACGTTGATCATAACAAGAGTGTGTTTAGGGCAACCTGAGCCATGAAAAATGTTTGAGGCATAACCGTTCTTCTGTTTTGGTCTGGAAGCTTTAGTGTTTTTCCGAGGAGATGTACAGTCTAGTGGAAATTCAGCAGAGGTGGACTTTCTCAAGCACCCCCTGTACTTCCACAAGTGTCCCTGCCATTTTTTGACTCTGCCCTTGGAGCATCTGCACCAGCCAGCTGCCATGTCCTCTTTTCAGCTCTGCCTTCTTGACTGAAACCAAGGATCCCCTACCTTCCCAGGCTGATGGAGAGCTGGTGTCTCAGCATTACGTTGGGATGTGACTAACCTCAATTACTCTAGCTAATGAAAGACTCCATTCCCCATCTGGTATTTATCTGGCCCTAGTTCTGGGTAGTGCACGTGGGATAAGGTGATCTCCAAAGTCACCATCAGCGTCAAAGATCTGGCAGCTGATCTCTCCCACCACTTCCATTCATTACAGCAGTAATCCTCCAATCAAAGCATCCCGGAGAGATGGCTGACTACTCTTGCTTGAATGAGGGGAATCCAAAATGTCTCTGAATCCTTGGTTGCTCTGTCAAACTGCTCTTACTGGACTTGCTGAAAATTAGGATTTTTTCCCCTTAACACTGCAGTGGAATCTGCCTTCTTGTAACTTAAATCATCATTCTGGGATGATAGAAGACAGGTCTTATCCTTTTTCTGTGGGACAGTCTTTCAGGGCCTTGAAAAGTGGCAACTTATCATCCTCCAGTCTTCAAAACATGCTCAGCTCCTTCAGTTGTTTTCTACAGGACTTAGTTTCCAATCTCCTGATAACCTGTATTTCCTTATTCTGAACTGGACCCTTCTTAAAGTGTGGTGCTCAGGACTCAGGTCAGTCCTCAGGGTGGAAACTGTCCAGAGCAGAGTAAAATGGGATATGAGTTACAAATTGCATCTGCCCTTTTTGATCCTTTGCCATCTGCGGACTCATATTCAGTTTGTGGTTACTTACTCATCCAAGATCCTTTCCACAAATACTGTTACCCATCCTATATGTTGTAGGAGGAAAGCTGTGTCAGTCTATAGTGGCCAAAAATCAGAAGGAGACCTGTAGCATCTTTTCTGACAAATCTTTTCATTCTCTTACGTTCAGTCCATTTCTCTAACACTTAAAGATTGTTTTGAGCATTATTTCTGCATTCTAGGGTTCTTTATCTCACTCAATTTATTCTCATCTGCAGATCTTATAAACAACCCCTCCAAGTCATTAATAAAAATACTAATGCGGGGAGGAAGCAGGACTGATCATTATGGCACCCCTCAATATGTCTCTTCCAGTTTCCTGAAGAGCCATTAATTAGCACTTTCGGAGCACATACTTTGAGCCTGCTATATGTCTACTTAATTGTCATGCCATCCAACATATACTAAACTAGCGTACTAATCAGCATGCCATGGGGTAATTTATCAAACGTTTTGCTGAAGTCCAAATAGAGTATACAGGTAGTCAGTGGGTGGGTGCCACGGGCGGGCAGGCGGGCATAAAAGTGGCAGGAGCAGGAGTGACTTGCAACCTCCTGCCGGCTTCCCCACTGACTTTGCTTGTGGGACGCTGGCAGGGAAGCTTGCAAATAGCGATCACATGACTGCAGGACACTGTGACTGTTGTAAGTCCAAGCTGGTTGCCAAGTGTCCCAATCGCGATCACGTGACTGCAGGGATGCTGGGATGGCCGCAACTGTGAGGACCTGTCTAAGTCCCCCTCATTCAGCACCATCATAAGTTTCAATGGTCACTGAATGAGTGGTTGCAACCCAAGGATTAATTGTATCTAAAGATTATCCATGATCTATTAAGGGAGTTTATATTTGTTTTTGGAAAATCCACGTGAACGTCTACTAATTACCTCGTTGTTTGCAAGGTGCTTACAGATTGATCTGTTTATGGTCAGTTCCAGATATCATTGTCAGCAGAAATGGCCTATAGTTTGCTTGTTGTGTTTTCTTTTGTCCTTTTTTTGAAAATTGAAATAACATTCGCTCCCCTCCACTCACCTGGTACTTCACAAGTTTGCTCAAAGATAATACAGGAGGATTCTGCCACGTCTTTACCCCGTTCTTTCAGCATCCTAGAGGGCGGATCTTCTTGCACTTTCCTTCAACCTCTGAAGGAAAAGTTGTGAACAGAACAAGTCAGGCATTTTTGGAGCGTTCCCTTGGCAGTTTGTCTCCACAAAGTTGTTGGAATAAACTCTCATTAATCACCGCTATTTTCCGAAAGGCCTGCAATTTGTGTTTAGAAGGCATCATTCACAATGTCTCCTTAGCCAGAGTAGACACCAACAACAATATAGTCTTTATTTGTTCCACTTGGTTCCTTCCATAACCCTGCTAAGTGCATTTGGATTTCCGAGCAGGAATGAACATTTTTAACATAGAGTGCAACTCCTCGCTCTCGCTTGTTTCTTTTCTTACTGAACAAATTGTATCATTTAATTCCTGTATTGCAGTCTTGGGAGTCTTCCCACTTGGTCTCCATTAAGTCTTTACTTATCAGCAGGTCAATACTTCAGTAGTTATTTCCCACCCTCTGAGCTTTAGCGTGCCCAGAAGGACCATGAACTTTATGGGCCAGTATTTCATTCTAATTTTTCATTGAAAAGCCCTCTTTCAACAATGCTCCCGCTTTCTAAAATTCAGAAAGCATGGGTTTTTATCTGAGGCCCTTCTAGATTTGGTTTAAAGCTCTCCTAATCAAGCGTGGCCAAAGACATTTCACTCGCCTTTGTTAGGTGCCAGCAGTTAGATGCCATCCTCCGGGTGCCTCCGACCATGGCCCCAGGAAGCAAGCATCTCCCGGTGGCAATGTGGTTGTGGCCACTTTAACCCCTTGCTTGCTGAAATCTTCCTTGAGGTGATAGCCAAACAGCAGCTGTGAGCCCACAGGCGGTGGGGGAGGAAGAAACAGTAAGCCAAACAAAGCAACGTGTTTGCAAAATCTGTCGCTTTAACAGGCTTGTTTCTAGAATGGTGGGATGGTCTGTTCAAAGCACCCCATGTTAAAGAGGAAAAGAGGTGGTTTTGAAAAATGGAAAGAAAGCCCAGAGCATTTGGGCGGAGGTGAGATTTTGTATCTGGGTGACCTTCCAGCAGTTTGCTCTCACGGCAGCTGAAGGAGTAGGAGAGATCGGGGTGTCCACGTTCTTAAAAAAAAAAAAAAAAAGACATAATCTCGTGTTTCTCTCAATCAGCTTTCAGTCACGTGCCTTTCAGTTGGCACCTCCAACGGGAACCTTGGCCTGATTGCCTCTGTAGGAAACAAAATGCTGCTTCCAACATTTTGATAGGAGTTTTTCAATTAACATCGAGAAAATTAAATTCACCCCCAGCAGCCCGTACAGACTGTCCACCTATCAACATTAGGGCCATGGGTTGTAAAACGAGGGGGCAGCAGGCGCACACTGGATTTCCTATGGCCGCCACTCTTGAAACGGGTGGAGTTTTGTTCCGACAAAATGGTCTGAGTTTGTTCATGAGGAGTACAACTGTTCTTAGTGCAGTCCGTCAGCCATACTTTGAGCCCAGTTTCTCTGAAATGGTCCCTAGGCCCAGCGATCTGGGGGAAAGCAAGAATGGGATTGAAATACTTTCATGCTGCATCCAATATTTTGTATGTTCTGCCAAATGCTGTAGTGTTTCCTATAGACCCACTGGGTTTGGTGAAATTTGCAGGGCACGGATCCCCTTCATTGCAATTTCCTCATTCTGTCCTGAAACTGGGCACCTGAAGGAAAAGGGAGCACCCGCTGAACGGGGGCCCTGCTCCTGGGCTGCTTATCGGGCTCACTTCAGACCAGCAGAAAGCAGTCCCGAGTGTTTGTTTTTGAAGAGGCTGCTTCTTGGCCGAGACCTGCACAGGAACACTGGATCTGTGGGCGAAGGTTTTAGCGTCCCGGGCATGGGCACAGCCAGTTCACAACCACACTAGCATCTCCTGCCATTGTTTGACCCCGTTGTCTCTCTGATTCATTACGAGATGCAAACACTTTGGTTTGCTCATTCGGCCTTTGAACAAGGGACTTTTCAACAGATTCAGCTCAGTCTGCTCTTTTTGCACAGGATTTAGAGCTGACTTTTTATGATCCAGGAGCTGTTTGCACTTCTATTTTTATTCTGATTTGGCCCCATTTCATTTTGGGGGGAGGGTGTCTATTAGCTCCAAACTTGCATGTACCTGGGAACAAGTAGTATACGTATCAGTATGTCATTATGGAAAGATGATTATGTTTTGACATCATTGTGGCTTGTTCCTGGACACCTATGGGAACAACAAGATGCTGTCAAATCCAAAAGGTGAGAGTATTCAGAATAAATCTAATGTTGTTGATGGTGTTCATGTTGCTACATACATTTTGATGGCACCAATAAAAATACCCAGTGCTACAATATTAAGTAGGCAGTGCATATGGACTAGTACAGAAAAGGTCACTATTCCCATTGAAAGGATATGCCTGTTAGATGGGGAAAGACAAATTCATGAGGAAGTATGCTCAGAGATCAGCTCTGAATACTCTGTAATGCTCTTTGTCACCATTTTAAAGAAGCTTGTAAGGCTAGTCTACTTGTTTTTAATATGCATCTTTATCTGGGGATAGCATCTTTCTATCAGCTCTAAATTGCCCCAAAGGCAGATGAATGTCAGGTATCGTGGCCGAGGGAAGAAGAATGTAACATCCGCACCTATGTGTCTAAGCAATTTTTAAAAGTTTAAAGGTAGTTGCATGTCATGCACTAATAGTAGCAATAGCGAAAGCTAACTTTGCCATCATCAACAATTGTTGATAAGAAAGACAAAAAAGTCTGGATGGTGGACATTGCAATACCTGGAGAC